AAACACATTTAGAATCAGATGTTGAACTAAACCTCCACTCAGTAAAGAGAATATAGGAGCCGTAGTGATTACTCAATTCTGATGCTCTCTGTAGCAATGAAAGTGACCTCTCTTTTGTTTTGAAGTCAATGAAAGACAATCCTGGCTTTCTAGCATAAAGGCCTTTTTCATTAAGCCTTCTGTGTACAGTTTATTGTGATACAGTTCCAGGAATGAATACAAGCTGTGAAATCAACTGCTAAACAGTAGATTTCATGTTATGACAGACATTTATTGACAGATATGAATCTTGATTAGCAGCCGTTATTCATTTATGGCCTTGTCCAGGTCTTCTTACAACTGAAATGAGTTCTGAAATTGTTTCCATAGAGACAGTCCGTCTTGAAACAGGGGCGATGATTCGTTACTTCACAGATTCTTCCAAATGATACTTTGGAGTCATAACAAATTATTTTGAGCCCTTGCACAACGAAATAAATTTCTATATGCCCCAGATATTAACTCTGCACAAAGTGCTTGGTTCATCACCAGATGACATAACACCTTGATTTGCATATCAGAAATTGCTTAGGATTGTCTTCCCTGCAAAAATGGACGACATCGATTGACTAATTCAGAAGTCAAACAACAAAAATCAGCGTTATATTTACAAAATTTTCACAGGACTAGTTTCGATGGTTTTACCGAACCATCATCTTCAGCTGCAAAACCGCAAATGAACAAGATAGCTTCATCAGCAGAGAGCCCTAGTGTGACTCGTGCAGTATCCAAATGCTAATGGCTACAAGATGAAAAATAATGGGAATTGAAGCAAGTATTGTAGATTTCATTACTTGTAGTCTATACTTCATTTTCATCATTTTGCGTTTCTAAAATGTCTGACTACATTTTAAGAATTGTACTAGAATTTCAAAGTTAAGACAAAGCTTTCAATAACTATTTGACAAAAAGTACAGATGCTTCCATTAAGATTTTGATGAGAAAAATATATTCACTTTTATATCACACATATATAAGACACATCACAGAAATATCCATATCACTAGCACATTCTGAAAAGGGATTATAACCTTAGGATAAAACTTATCTGCAGTGTTCTGCAGTTTTTGATTGGTCGCAGGAGAACATGGCATATACTTCATATCAAATTCAGTTACTATAAACACATAAATTAAACTTGAAGCTTAGTATAGCAAGGAAAACTGCACAGTGTTTTAACTCCTGTTTCTCAATGCATAGGGCAGTACACTGTTAGCTAACATAATGTCACAACAAAACTGTGATTTAATAAAAGTTATAGAAATTCTAATTTCCTCCAATTCTGTTATCTACTACAAATGATTAAATTCATTGTTGGGCAGACATGAATTACATAAATTATATATTACAATAATTAATGAGCCTTTGAATAAAATATCTAAGGTATTATGAAGTATATATATATATAGATTGTAATTAACATAATTTTACTGCGAAAGATAAAAAGCAATGTCCAGTCTAATTTTAAAGATAAAATGAAAAATCTAATCAAATGAGTACCCTTGAAAACTGCCAGTTTGCCTACATAATAAAAATCTTATGCTCCAAGAAATGGCAAATGATTGCACAACTGATAATTCTCAAATTAGAAAGATTAAATTTTAGATGATTCTAATGGTAAAATAGATCAGAATATCAATTCTAAACTACTTTAACATTATAATTTAACACATTCCTTTGTTTACATATTCTCTTGCACAGTATTATTGTTTGATACTTCATAGATCGAGTTGCAATATCCTCCTGATCCTTTAGCAATATCTTCTGATAACAGATAACTGCAGTGACTACTAGACTAAATACATACTTGAACATTTACTTCTCTTTACTCACAGAATTTATTCATCATCACTTTCTTTGTTCTACAACTGGTTTATTTTCACTTCTCACAGAATATTTATTTTTTTATCCATAGATTAATTCACTCTATGAGTGGGCACAATTTGTTTTTGTTCAGTTGTGAGATTTTCTATAATTTTATAACATTAACTTGTTATTTGAAATATTTTATTTTCTTACATTCTTTAATGGTCAAAATATCATCCTAATGAATGGGAGATTATGGAAACAAAGAGTAAACCAAGTAATTATGTAAATCTACCTAATAAATGCTTTTTATATGCTTCATCAACAGATCAAGACTGGCACACCTATTCTAATAACTCGTTAAACCCAACTCCAATGCTTAATATATACTCCCAAACACTATGAATAATAATGCTGAATCAGGATTTGCTCCTGATACGTATTAAATAAAAACCACAGTTTAATAAATACACTATTCAATGTGTTGTTCCACAGCTGATATATGGAAATTATTACCAGTAATTATTAGAATGAATATAACATATTCTTGTTGCTACAAAAATTGTTGCCAAATATATATCGTTCAATTGCAATAACATTTTCAGTCTCAATCCCCATGATGGTTATAAATCTTAGATCACAAACCATATTAAAAAGTGAGACTCAATTTCTTAATTTTCATTTCTATTAATCACAGCTTTTATTTCCTTTTTAAATGACAATCTGAATTATTTCTTGATTTTCATTTTATATTGATTATAGTTGATTTTTTTATGCAGAAACTCAGATGGATTTAATTTAATACAGTTCATCTTCTATTGCCTGGTTCAGCTGATTAAAACTTAAAAGCTCTTATCTATGCTAAATGATATTTCCAATTTCCTTTCTATTGTTAAATTTTGAATTTTTCTTTTCTTTTTTAGCTCATTCTAATAAGATGAACCGAACTGATTTTTCATAATACAGGCTTTCTTATTCTTACATTTACTCTTGGTGACACTTGTGCACTTGCATACTGTTACGGATTCGGTATTTAAATAGCTAATGTTAGTAGAATTCTAAATAAATCATTTTATTCTTCATGCAGTGCTGCACGTGATGAATATTGAAAGAAAGCTAAGCTGGAAAATTAAAAATACAAGAGCATATGCAATTAACATTTAGTAAATAAATAATAAATATCCCTTTTTAATTTCGAGAAATTGTTAGAACAATCTCACCCGCAATTTAAAAAGCTTATAAAAAGGAAGAAAACCTCTCAATTCAGTTAGTTGTTGTTTTAAGAGTTTGTTGTAGTTGCTGTAGTGAATTTGCGGAAAACTGCTCTTGTTGACTGTATTGAATTCGCAGATTAGCTTTCTCTAGCTGTTCTGTTGAACGTTTGAGTAGTTAAAAGATAACTACTGTGAGATATTGTAATACTGTACAAATATCTGGGGAAATTTAAGCATTTTAGTTTAATTTTTTTGATAATAATAAATTTTATTCGTTTTTCATCGGACTTGTGCATTGAATTTATAACAAACTCGTATGCACGCAACAATACATTTGGCTCAACATCCCACTAACAAAAAGGTACTAATTAATCTACATCTATAGATAATGAATTTAGCTCAGTGTAGGTAAATTTAAGATCTTTATGAGTAACTGATTTTATATTTATCAAGTGCTTTATTTCTTCCCTGCTGTAAACAGTCATCTCCAAACTATCTCTATACTTACATACTGCAAAGAAAATAATATTCTGATTGCTTCAAAAACTATAAATAATCAAGCATACCTTTTAACACTACACTGTAAATGGATTAATATTTTTGAAGCACTGCATAAGCAGCATGATGCTCAACAAAAGAAGGCTATAATTTCAATGGATCAGTTTCAAATTCCAAATAAGGCATGGAGGTCTACAAGGCCTCTTTTCCATTTGAGACTGCAGTGTTGTAATATCCACTGTAGTGCTTCTTGAGCAACATTCATAATAAAATGAACAATACAAGGTGCATTCTTTTCAACCTTCGATCATGCTTCTAAGGTACCAGCTGAGCCACAGGAGGTGAATTTTTCACACTTTGCAGCTTTCTCACCATAATGTTTATCACTGCCAAGTCCAACACAATTGAAGCTGAGCTGAAACATGATCGGGATGACAGAGTCTCTCTTGCCAAGTGCGAGTTGGACAACATTAATTCACTATAAGCAGAAGGGAATAATGCAGCAGAGATTCATTTCAGAATGAGCCATGCTTATGGTGCAAACTTTATTAATAAGAAATTTAAAGATGGCTGAAGAGATGGGCAAGGTTGCAAGTCTGGCAAGGATGCAAGTCTGGCAAGGATGCAAGTCTGTCAATAGTGAAAGTTTTGTTCGGCAAGTTCAGTTCAGCTGGTTTGAGAATGACAGAGATCATCTGTGGATTTTCTGGACATTTCAGAGTCAGCTCTGTAAATGATTATAATGGAACACTCTATGCTAGCAAAAACTTTGTGCATATTGGATTCCCAAAGCCTTTTTCTTTTTATTGGCATGCTGGGAAAATAATTCTTTGTCTCTATCATCCCTTGATATAGTAAATTATACTGTATACTCAGGGCTTAAATTCAGCTGGAGCCTAGCCGAGTTATTTTTTAGTCTGCAAGTCCAATCAGAGCTCACAATAAGACGAGGTCCAGTACTTTTTTTTTTTGAATTATTAAACTATTTATAATAAATTGAATAATTATTAAATTTTTATTTCTAGCTTTATTTTATTGAATTTTAATTGTTAATTAATTTATTAATAAATGTATTATAAATGTATAACTACTATATTAGTTATTATATTTATTCCTTTCTTGTTCCTGCTTTCTGATGGCCTCCCATACAGCTCTGGCATTTCTAATTAAATGATCACTTTGGCAGTTTTAGTGACACAACACTATCTGAATTCGCAATATTTTATAACACAGTAGTATTAGGTTTAATAAAATTCTGCAACTTCTCATTATGTTAAAAAATTAATTTTTTCAATGATTATGCCGTAACTTCATACAAGTTAAAAAAATACAGTTTTTTTGGGGGGGGGGTGGAGGTAATTGAGTATTGATGTAGGATAAAAAGTAATTTAGTACATTACATATGTTTATACACAAAAGAATTTTTATATTTGAAGAACTTACAGTCAGCAAATTTATCTTGTAATTCTTGAACTCTTGTGCTGAGGCTCATTACATACCATAGAAGAGCACCTACAACTGCAACTATTAAGAAATAAGAGAAAATTTTTGCTCCTTGTACAAAACTGCAATTACAGCTTTTAGTTCCTGAACCATTTCTACCAGCTTTTGCTCTAGAGCTTGGGCGGAATGGCCTGAAATGTATAAAAATTATTTTAAGTTTTAAATCAAAATTTACAATCACAACATAAAACGATATCGAATTTCATACATAATACATTTAAAACCATTACTTGAATAATCTGAGAAGCCATGCCACTTAAAAGGTTTATACATGCAGAAGCATTCTAAGCTATTTTAAAATATCTGACTTCAGAAAATATACTAGAAATTTCAAATATTTGGAATTTAAAATCACAATTTATTATTATTCTTTCATAGTATTGTAAAAAAAAATAATATTACTAATCAATTTTTTAGCTAGTAATATAATCAAGTACTTTTAATATTTTTTAATAATCAAGATGTTAATTTATGTCTTCCCTCCCTTTGAAGGCAGTAAGACATGAATTAACATCTTCAGATTCCACAGCTAAAAAGAAAAATAATATTTAAAAAAAAATGTACAGCATACCTATAATTACATACTTTTTATGACAGTTTTTCTGTTTTTTAGTATTCAAGCGGTCATGCTCAGGTATTGGTAAATTTAATCAAATAATCAATAATGTGCAAATTTCAAATGTTGCTAAGGGTTTATGCAGTGGCTGGTTTAACAAGTAAGCACATTGTTTTTAATACTATATAAAACAAAATATACTGGCAAATATTAGCAGGATAAGATTTAAAAAAATAAAAGCTTTCATTTTGAATCCACAAGCATTAACCCTCTAACCTGCAAGGCCATACCAATATATATTAATCTATAAACATATATATATATATATATATATAATATATATATATATATATATATATATATCATATATAGAATAATTAATACTATATCTATCCTATATATGCCTAGAATGGCTTTTTATGACGTCTTTAAGAAAGTATATATACAGGCATCTTGAAATATGTCCAATAAATTAAGACAATATATTAAAACCTCATAAATTCAGGTATTTTGGCATTAAAATCAAGATTATACCAATTTCTCATGGACATTTTGAGAAATTTGGGCTTTCTTAGTGAAGCCCTGTACTGGTCAGAGAGTTAATATACTTTTCATTTCAATGACATATATATCACAAACAGACTTGCAATTTAGAACAGATTGTATTTCTAAGGATTATGAATGATAATCATTAGAAAAACAATGATTAGCCATTATAATATACTGAAAGTCAGTAAATTTTAAATAATAACATAACTCTTAAAATTAGCATATTACTTAAAAAACAAATTAAATCAAATTTGGTTTATTTTGATTTACAATGTATAAAAGCCAGCTATTTGATCAAAACAAGATTATCAGAACACTAATATTTAATCATACACTCCAGTGAGGCACCTGAATACACAGCAAAACATTATGAATGTGACTACTCATTTTATTTATCTTATGATAGACTTAAAAAAACTATATTTAGTTATGTAAAATACAGCAGTGAAAGAAAAATAAATGTATGTATCTCCATGATAAAGAAAATTTGTTTGCTGTTCTAAAACAAACTAAATTTCAGTTTTGAAGATAAAAAAAAGCTTGTGAGATGAGGCTTTTTTTTTTTTTTTTTTTTTTTTTCTGTCTAATATTTATGAACCAAAAAATGAATAATACTATAATTAAAACATCAAAATAATTTAATGCAGCTTACTCAAATTTTCACTTTTTAGATACTATTGTAGGAAGCAACTAAAAAGAGTTATGAAGCAGACTACAAAGCTCAGGCAGATTCCCAATTACTTGTGGATATAAATATAAGAATCAAGAAATATCCTATTGGGAATTTATAGCTAAACTGTTATTTAACCAACAACAGATTGCTAAGAGGTCTATGTCAGGGTTTTTTAAACTTTTTTCAGTCATGACTCCTTTTTATCACTGAAATTTTCTGCGACCACCCCAGGAACCCATAATATTTACAAAAATTTTGTGGGACCCCATAAGTATTGTGCAAATGAGACACACACATGATTGAAACTGTCAATTTTTTCACTTGTACTGTAATATACTATTGCAGTTTTAGGTCATTAACTTTAGTTTTCTTTTTTTTCTTTGTCTGTAGTTGGCGTTTTCGTTTTTTTTTCTTTGTCTGTATTACCTTGTCTTTATCAATTTTCAGAAACATTGTGCAAAAATATTTGGTATTGGAAAATTATTATAATAAGTTAAAGAAATATCAAAACTGCTAAAATGTTTGGTGACCTCCTGCTGCAGGTCCGCGACCCACAGTTTAAGAAACCCTGGTCTATGTCAATTGATTGTCACACCAAGATTCAATTAATAAATATTAAGATATTAATAAGTAACAAATAAAATTAATATTCTACAACAGCTTAACAACTAAGGAAAAAATATGTGGAACAACCAAATAAAAATGTTAGGATATTCTCTTTTCTCTCATTACTATTGCTTTCATACTTGACATTATATTACATGAAAGGACATTTCCAGCCTTGGTTAAAGTGGGGGCACATATCAACTGGATTTTCCTTCCTGTACTTTTAATCACATATGATATTATTGATAAACTGAATCCACTATGTTTTCTGCATTAAAAATACAATTTCATATAACATTGAACTTTCCTAGTGAATAATTTATTACTGAGCCTCACTAAATGCAAATTTTTTCAAGAATATTCAAAGGTAACATATATTAGCACATTTAATAATGATCAATTTTTAAAAATTGTCTAATTTCCAATCAGTATCAAACTTTATATTCAAATAATGAAGGTTTTGAAATTATATTTCTAATACTTAAATGTTTTATTGTAGGATGAAGTAAACAGAAAAAAATATTTACATCATTTTCAAGTATACATTTTTCTACTTTCAGTATTCTTTTAAAATTCTAATATTTCAATGTTCTAATTCTTTCAATATTTTAAGATAATTAATTATATATTTTCACACCATTTCTTAGAAACTGTGTATAGTATAATTAAAATGACAGGAAAATAACATGTAATAAATGGTTAGAAAATTAGTCGCATTCATACCAATGATTTAACATAAGCAGTTACAAAATCTGTATAGTACGATATGATGGACAGTGAGATAAATTTTTTAGTATTCGCGCAAATAAACTTACTTCTTAAACCTCACTTTTCGTTTCTGTTTAGGCGCTTGAAAATGTGTAAAAGAAGGTGAATCAAGAGAATCACTAGATGATAAACCTAGAAGCTCTGCGGCTTCTTGGTTATTATTTAATAATTTTGGAGGGTTACTTTCCATATTAGTATCCTGATTTACTAAGGATATCATACGGAATGCAATTATAATTGCTTCCTTAGAAGCAGGACATAATGTACACCAGGTTCCTCAAATATTCAGACAATTTTAGAGTAAAAAATGTCCGAAAACAGACAATTATTTGACACGTGAATCATCTTCAACATCAGCTGATAAGCGCCTTAAAAAATCCGGGAAACAGTGTCAACAAACGTGACGTTAGAAGACGTAGACCACTCAATCACAGAAAGAAAATAATATTGTAGCTTGTAGAAGGAAGTTTCTGAATGATTGTTTCTATCACGTGATACCACCAAATTTGCTAAATTTATTTGCAAAATTAAAATTTACTTCCCACGCTGTATATAAAGTGCCATCTCGCGTAAGTTTTTAAAATTATGTATACGTTTGCAGCAATTTATTTTTTCATCATATACTTATTTTATAAATCTGGAAACATGTTTTCGAAACCGAAATGGTATGTGCACGCATAACTCAATCGTCAAACATATATTTAAATTTGGGGGAAAAATATTGAAACTTTATTTACATTCACAGTCATATTAAAATGCATATAAACAATCAGGTAAGTCTGATTTTACGTATTATTAATATGTATTTAAGTAATATATTTTGTGACTACAGCATTCCAGTTACATCATTCGAATTTCTTTCATTGAAGAAACTGTATATCAAGCATAGTACATCAAGTTACTACGAGATGGCGACACGAGTTAAGAGAAACCGATGTACAACGAACCGCGAAGTACGGGTCCTGAGTCACCAGGGGATCGAACAAAAATTGTTGTTTTTTATGAACAATTACGAAACTAAAAATTTAAAGCTTAAACATAAATTATATTGTAACCTTTCTTTGGCATATGAGTACTAAAAAATTTAATTCTAGATCATATTTATATCATTTACTTTTAAAAAGTATTTTTTCTTTCCAGTGGTGTAGTTAGAGGAGGGTGGTACTCCCCGAGGAGCACACCTTTAAAGATGGCAATTTTATGTGTGAAATACTATTTTAGGGGTTGATTAGTCAGGTGGATCGTCGAAGCTGGTGAAGAGTAATTAGATTCTAAATTGCATATGCGATTTAATTGAGAAGAAAAAGAGTTCCTACTCTAAATAAAGTATTCAAAGAAACCACCGCGATATTTTTTTTTATACCTTTTGCATTCCGTCGAAACTTTTGAATGCAAATTACGAATTTGAACTAAATTATGAACACGATGATATTGATAAGGAAGAATTCCTCGTTAAGAAAGAAGTCTTTCGGAGTTTAATTCCGTTACTGCTAGGGAAATCGAAACAGGAACGTGGAAGAGCAGTCCTTTTGAATTTTTGCAGTTTATTCTAAAATACAATATCCAGAATAAAGTTCTAAATATTGTAACGTTGGTGCGAACTGCGAACTTTCCTCTTCTGTTGCTACTTGTGTAAAGCGTTTTCTATAAAAATAATTTAAGTACTGCAGATATATATTTTGCATTTAGAAAATCTGGTACTATTCGTTTCGAGGGCCGTAAAAAATCGCCAAACTATTGTTGATGCCAATGCTGCCAAAAATAATTGCGGCAAGAAAGAAAAGTATAATAGTAAATAACTATCTAAGATTGATGTTTTAATTTAGATGAAAGGTTAATTTCATATAATACTTTTTTATTATTATAATTTATATGAAAAAGGCTAAACATGACTGAATGGAAGCAAAAGAGTAAATAACTATTTCAGATCATTATTATAATTTATATAAAAATTGCTAAACGTAACTGAATGGATACCTGCATCGCTATTTCGCTACCGAGTTATCGCTAAAACATAATTTTCATGTCGTTGGTTGTTCAAGTATAATTTTCTATAATGAATGATGCCTTTTCTTTGAAAAAATTCTCGGTAAAGTGCAGAATCGCCCACGTATTTGTTTCCACTTTTTACAAGGGTTAAAAACAATTGGATTTTTGTCAATTTTCTTTTAAAGTGAAAATAGGTCGATGTGTACATAGATAAAGTCAAGGAGGTGCGCAGTGCCATTTTTGTGCAATTCTGAGATTTTTTTTTTAAGTGAAAATAGGTCGATGTGCACATGGATACCGAGTATGTGGAATTCTTAAAAACGCGTCAAGCAGTGAGTGATTCTGCACTTTACCCAAAATTCTATTGCCGACTTTTCGTCATGGCAATTCCCAAATTGTTAAATCCATAGGATATCAAAAAGGATTAAAAATCAGAAAAGAATTTAAAAATTAAACTAGTATTTCAATGGCGTCTTAAGAAATATAGAACTATATAAACTTACGCAATCTGAAACCAGCGCGTACGCTAGATTTGGCGCGCTGTTAAATTGGCGCGTTTGCTAGATTTGGCGCTTTTGCGCATACATTTTCGCTGCAATTTTTTTACGGCCCTCAAAACAGAAGAGTACCGAAAATCTTTCTTTAAGCCGGGACGTGTATTTTATACTTTCCAGAGCCGACGCTATCTGAATACAGATCTCAGCTAGTGCAATAAACGACTTTAAGCAATTTTTTTTTCTCTCCTGATAGCCAGACATTTTTCTAATTAAGCATTCTTTTGGGGAAACGGCCAAACCATCAGTCATTTAACTCTATCATCGTCGAGAACGTTTCCCAGGGTGCACCACAAGGGGTAACTGAATTACATCTAGGAGAGAAGCGGCGATGTGTTCCAGCTTTATTTGATGCCACTTTTTTTGCCAATACCTTCTCGAAAGGACTTTAGGCTCTAAAGTATTTTAAGCACCTACATGCCTCAAGGACACTATACAAACATCTATACCTTCTCCGTAATTGGACCCGAGACTTAAGGCTATTGTACTTGGCTCTACCAACATGCCAATAGGAAGGAAGCTAGATCTCAAAGGAGCCAACCTCCTAACATTTTCTAATTAACTTAGCATTTAAAAATGTCAAAACAAACTGCCTTGAACTTAGCATTTAAAAATGTCAAAACAAACTGAATTTCGTTACTTCTAAGAACTCGTATTGTTCGAGTGAGTCGGTTTTCGGATGGGCGACAATCGAACGAGTTGGGATTGTATCGTCTGTACCTGAGAAACGGACTATAATAACGGAGAAATGGACTTTTTTTTTATAGCCACCCTTTCATCTGTTCCTCGCTGTAATATATCGTTAAAAAATTATCGAATTCCTTTATTTTTTTAAATAAATAAATAAACAAAATTTAATTCTCATTTTTTTAACTATTAATATTGTTGTAACTTTCAGTGCAAAATTATAAGTGGTTTTAACCTGTAAGAAATGTTCCTCCAGCGAAATCGAAATCAACAGGACAACGCCAGGTTTAGGCTTTAGAGGTCTTAAACAAACGATATGGTGCTTCCAAAAACATTTACACTAGTTTTTTCCGAATTTCTTCACTCTTAGTCTTGTTTAGCTGCTCCATACATTCCATGGTAAAACTTGCAACGGGAAATTCTCCTTACCCTGAGACACTAAGCATCTTTTTGGAATTCCCTTTTTTCTTGATGCAGTAAGCGCATGCTTATTGGTTAAGCTAGCTCTGACGACAGTGGAGGAGCGCTGTCTTCTTGGAAATATGCATCCGCAGTGAGATGGGTAATATTAATACCTGCTTATAATCGATTCAATAAGAGAGTAGTCCAAAAGCACCAGTAATTCCGAAAAACGGTACTGAACTATCAGAAATCTTCACCATCAGAAATCTTCCGTCCTGTCTGGGAAGCAGTTCATCACATGTTGGGTTAGTAGCATCGAAAGACAGTTAACTTCGTGTGATTGAAGTTAACTGTCATTCGGCATGAAACATCACGCATTGAAACTCATCAGACTAAGCAATATTATGCTATTTTGTAGGTGTTTGAAACTGTGTATTTTGTGAATGTGTGAAATGGAGGGTGTACTGTTGCCCCATCGAGGCGTCCGATTCAGTTGACCATTCTCAACAGCAACATAATGGGCTTTTTAAATTTCTCATTTAACACTACAATTAAGTAAAATTCAAATTTAGATTAGCAAAATTTTCGAGAAGTGATCCATACACTTCAATAAAATCTAATTTGTGTCACGTAGAAAAAAAGTATTCTGCGTATTTCTTCTAGGCAGGGCCGGCACTAACCTTAATGCCCCCCCCCCCGTTGTTTGCAAAATGTTGTTCTTCCTAAATTGTGCGGCTGGGTGCCGCAGCATAGGCTGCTTCGGCTTTAGCGCCAAGCCCCCATATAAAGAACAGGAAGGGAAAAAAATACAGAGGAAAAGTGTGGTATCACTTGCGAGTGATAAACCGATGGAAAAGAGGGCAAAAATTATAAATAAGGAGTCTACGTATTTTGGAAACACATTAATAATCTAAAAGGCCGTTAATTAGAACTGATTGATTTTAGGACCAAAAAGGAAAGTTTGAGAAAGCCTGATTTATGAAGAAAACGTACTGGAAAGGATTACTAGGTAAGGTACTAGATTAAAGGTACTAGATTAAATAATAATAAAAAAAAAGGTAACTGAATTAATAAATAGAAAGAAAGTTTCCTCTGTCAGCAAATATATGTTTAATTCATATAAATCTCATTACTCTTTTAGCAATATTTTGCGTATTCCTTCTTTAAACGTTGTACAGAAGGATGAGGAACAAGTTTCTTCTTAATGCAGAGCCAGTATAAAAAATTTAATTTCACATACTTTTATTAGATGTCATGTATCCAAATGTGACCACGAAACGGGTCTACGATCAGCCAGTCAACAATTATTTAATCTCGCAGTGTTTTTTCTCTTCTTTAACTTACTTGTAGCGTACCATAAATATTTTCCCATATTACCTTAACAAATGACACCCTAAGTTCTGATGAACGTATTATGCACGGAGTAATTTCAGCGCCCTCCAATATTAATTTTCTTTGTTTCTGTAAGAGAAAAAATTCATCGGAGGATTATAGCGATTAACAGGGCGATTTTGAGGCCTTCGTGCCTGAAGGTCCTACACCCAGAACTTGTGGGATACGCGGTGATCAGGCTCTGACAATGAAGAGACTTTTATTTGCAAATTTCAATAACTAAGAAAATAATAATAATAAATAAATAAAATCTTAAAATTATAAATTATTATTATTATAATTATTATATTATTATTATTTTTATTATTATTATTTATTATTATTTATATTATTATTTAAATTTTAAATTCTATATATAAGTCGTGTTTTTTTAACGTTTTGTGTGCTACCTTTATTTACTAAATATCATGTTCTTCGCACTTAAATCATAAAATTCAATTCAACGGCGAT